AACCACCAAGAAAAAAAGAAAAGGCATGCCCATATTACTAAATATGTGAGCATTATTTTAGAGACTGTGATTTGCAGTGTGACTACATGATACTCTATTTCTCCATTTTGTATGGTACAGAATCACAGTGATACCGTAACTCAAATAATCTTTAAGATCCCATCAGGCATTAAAAGAAATCGTTATTTTAATGGTGAAATGAAGCATCAGTTCACAAACCGTTTAAGGACAAGAGATCAGCCTTTTATGGTCCCTAAACTACATTCTACTGCATTTGCTCTAGAAACTATGTAATACTGCATTCAAACAGCTAAGAAAGGGTTTTTTTTTTTATTACGTTCCCACATACAATGTTTTCTAAACCCCTCACACAAGCTTACCCTTAGCAGATTGTAACATATATGCTTGGACTGAACAACAAAACTAAATATTCTCTCACCTTGTTGGTAGCCACACCAATAAAACGAGAAGAACCAACTGCATCTCGGAGAGTGCCAGCTTCCTCTTCATCTCTGCTCTTTGCAAAACCTAACGGTGCAAGAAAAACACAAACCCACTCTCAGCGACAGTCGGTCTCCGCCAAGCAGTGCTTTCAACTTAACCCGAGGAAAAATATGTCACTTCACTGGAGAAAGGAAACCACTGGATTTCCGCAGCACTTTTCAGTACTAGCAACTTATTGTATCTCCATCTTTCCCAACGATCCTGCTCTGTGMAAAGAGGCAACGTATGATCAGAAGTGGCATGTGAGCCGGCGCATCAGATGCTTTCCAGTTCCGTGATGTGAAAGCCCCGAGACGAAAGGGAACAAAAAATAAAAACCGTATGTATGGAGGATGGGGGTTTAACCACCCCTCGCCTCACTACGGCACACCGCAGCCGGGGGGGGCGGGGGGCGGGCGGGAGGCAGAGTCATGCCATTCGCCGGGGCTCGGTGCGGGGACCACGGGCGAGCCGCCCCCCGTCGCCGCCGAGCGCCCAGCACGTTTGACAGCTGCTCGGCAAAGCACCGGCGGCCGCCGCCGTGGGGCGGAGGGGGCGCGGGGCGGCGGCGGGGGCAGCCCCCGCAGGGAGACAAGTTGCGGAGCGCAGCGGAGCCCC